GAGAGGGGAGAGTGTTCATGGGAAGGAGAGGGGAAAGAGGCACACCTGTATAGCTCTGGTGTTCTGAAATTAGGTACCCCAAGGGAGTCTCAGGGTCTTCCTGATCTATTGACTTTAATGGTTGAAGATCTTGGCGTTCCCCTGATAGAGGAACAGAGATGCTTCTTCTGATTCAGTTTGATTCGACGGTTAGGCTTAGCCAGGGAACAGAGTAGTGAAATCAGACACAATTGGATTTCAGATTTTCACTTCTCCTTGAGTTCTCAAGATTCCCTGGTAAAGTCAGAGTACTTGTAGATTCTAAATATTCTTTTTATACAATTTCTTAGGCATTTTGTCAGGCAGAAATTAGAAATCACAGAATCATGGAATATTGGCTCTGCTATTCCCCTAGTCTCTCATATCAAAATCTTACTGTTATTTTTGTCACCTTTATCTCCCATATCCAGTCTACCCAAAGGAACGCAAGTTCATGGGAGGTCACTAATGTAAGAACAAAAGAGTTAATGGGGCATCCAGTATCCAAGTCAAAGCAATTTTACACCGAGTCAAAGACTCAAAGGGCCTTATCCAGGGAACTTCAAACCTTGTTAAGCCAACAGGTAGGGAGAGAGGAGAGGCATACCTGGGCACTCTGCACGTAAGTGTTGGACACATATTACAGATGGGCAATTGACTGGTTCCAGAATTGAACTGAAAGAAGACCCAGCTGGATTGCATTTGCATAAATTCTGCAGTGTTCTCAACAGCCTGAAACATGAACATAAAGTGAACTAAAAACCTCCTCTTTTTAGTGTTAGGATTCTTCCAGTGATGGTGGATGGTTGTGAATCATGGAATAGCACAATGCCTAAGGCATCAAAACTTCAGGTTATCTAAAAAAGCAATATAACAATGCAAAGTGGACATAAATAGGCTGCAGCAGCATGTTACTAGTGGATTGTGTGCAAAAAGAGGCCTAACATATCAACAGTATGTGGGGCAGTCATGTAATCAGATCAAGGGAAAACAGATGGATGGTCCATGTGCTGCCTTGGAACCCACAGGAATAATACCAAGAGACCTAGGGAAGTCCGCTAACAGGCGGATCAGCTGTGGATAATTTAGTAGAGGATTTGGGCAAGAGTGGCCTGACCTATAACTAGCAACCTGGATCAAGTGCCCTCCAATCAACTTTATAATTCATGATGTGAAAATAATATAAGAAGCAATACTAACTCAGTTGCTAGGGAGGGGAAATTAGTTACTATACTGAGTATTAGCCACTAGACCTAGGCTCTCACAGATGGGTGCTATTAAAAATGATAGTTTTGTATTTTAACTAATGACTCTTGCTAACCAGGTGCAAAGTTCAGCAAGTAAAGGTAACGTTAAACAATTGTATAATCTTTTAAATTTTTTTATATTTCATTGCCCAGGGGCAGAGTTGTGCCCTAGTTGTAGCTCTGAGAGCACACAGTCAATCAATAACAAACATTTATTAGTGGATACAAAGACAAAAGTGTCTTTGAGGAATTTAGGTTTGATCAGAGATCACAGATCCAGTGAAGCTTGCTTTGCATTGGAGTATATGTGCCTCCCTCACAGAGTTATTGTAAAGCTCCAATGGGAAATAACATGTGAAAACATTTTATAAAAAATTTAAAGCAATGTACAAAGGTATTATTATGAACCTGTATATGTAAAGTCCTGTGCCAGTGCTTTCTGATGGCCCAGAGGTGACTGTGGGTTCGCAAAGGCTATGTCTCTGGGGCATGAACTTCTGTAGGCCCTATCCAAAGTGGTAGGGCTTCAGGTACAGGCCTAGTGACAGACTGGAAGTCAGCCCATCAAAGTCCAGCCTAGCTCTCAAGTTCAGCAAGACTCATCACCACTGGGTTGACCAACAAGTCATGAATTTTTTTTCTGCTAAAGCAATCCACAAAGATGATATATTAAGGCAGAGAGAAATTATATGACCTGCATGAAATAAGGGAATACTCACACTAATGAAGTATTAAGTGGATGTGGAGCTGTGAATCTGAGTAGTCAATCAGTAAGCATTTATTAAGCACCTATTATGTGCCAGACATTGTTGCAAGTGCTGGGATACAGCAAAAGATAGTTCTTGACCTAAAGGAGCTCACAGCCTAATGGGGAGAGACAACAGGCAAACACAAACAAGCTATATACAGGATAAACAGGAAATAAATAATGAAGGTGAGACACTAGAATTAAGGGGATTGGGAAGGCTTCCTGTGGGCTGCAGGATTTTAGCTGAGGCTTAAAGTGCCTGCGTATGTGCATTCTATTCTATCTATCTTATACTTCATATATGTTAATAAACCTATGATTCAGCCTTTGTTCCCTGGGGCAGGTCACTCTCTTCCATCCATGTCTTCTTGTCCTGTGTGATGCCTGTCAGTGTCTTACTTCTGGTCTTCCACTGAAGCTCTAACTCAGGTGCTAGAGGCCTTTTCATATTTGGGGTTACCACTGCAGCACCCAGGCTGTCCAGTGGTTAATCCTCATTCTCACATAATCAGTCTGGCTATTTTTAGGCCTATGTCATTAAATATGTCTTCACTCATGCTAGTCATGGTTGGTAATATGCTTCAGCCTACTCATTCCCACTGAGTATCATTCCATTAACTTTTGAGTCACCTGCAATTTTGATTCCTCTGAGGTCAAGGCATTGCATGACTTAATCACAGAATATTCATCAGAATTATTGATGGTAAAGAGACTGGCATTTGCATCAGTGAGCCACCGGAGATTACTAAAAATATGTTGCACAGTTTCTCACATGTAACCCAGCTTGATCTTCTTGTATTTAATTCTGGGGCTAGCTCATTGTCCATATGCAGTACTTATCTAAGCTATATGTGCTGATGGAACTGCATGATATAATTTGGGGGATATGTATTCATCTATTTTGTTTTTCCTACAAAGATGGCTAAGCCAATCTCTTGAGTACCCATGGATCTCATTGAGGAGGGGCCTGCATCATCCTCGACCTTGATAGGATGATCCACAGAGAGACATCTACACACACACACACACACACACACACACACACACACACACACGTGCAGACACACACAGTCTCAAAAGGCTAAAGTTTAAAACTACACTAAGATTTTTGGGACACCCTGTATATACAGTAGTTTATCCCACAGTATATACAGTAGTTCTTATCCCACAACACTCCTGTGTAGAGAAAATATGATTATCCTCATTTTAGAGGTAGGAAAATTGAGGTTCAGGTTAAATGACTTATTTAAGGTCACAGAGATAGTGTCAGAAGAACTCAAACTTAGTTCTTCGGGGTTCCAAGTTAAATGCTTTTTCTACGATGCCAGTGTCTAAAGGAGACATTCGTTCATGTCCTCCAGCCCTGTTGAAGAACAACAGCCTGGAATGGAATGTGACCCTGTCTAAAAACAAAACTCAGAGCCTAAATAGGCAGAGCCTGAGAGAGCTATTCTCAGGAATGGTTGGGGCTAGGATGTGGCTCCTTCCAGGATGTGTGGCATCTGATCTCCAAGGCTTCTTCACTCATTCCTATTGCTTCTAGGGTTGGGATGGGTACACTGGTTGTCTTGAGATCCTGCTGCAGTTAATCCTGGCAGGGGTAGAAGGTTGGTCTCTCCTCCCCTTTAAAATGGTCTTAGAAGTGTGAAAAATGATTTTTTTTTCTATCTTGGAGACTCAGAGCTCCACCCCCCAGCCTTCTGCTCTAAAGTTCTTCAGAAGGACATTACTGATAACCAGATTTCATTGAATCTTTTTATCCTGGTCAAACCTGATCAAACCTGACTCAAGCCTGAATTGATTTTATCCTACTCAGGTTTGGGTGGAGAGAGATTCTTCTGCCTAGACAGACCAAGGCTAGGAGTGGTCTGGAATGATGGCGAGTTGATAGACCCTTTGAAAAGGTATATTTCTCTGTACCCTCCAATCCCAAATCCAGCCAGTTCTGGACTGGACCCCTTGGGGAGGGGCCTGGTTTTGGACTGTAACTCCCATGCAATGCATGTCAAGCCAGTTTGAGAGAAATAAAACGTGGACACACGTCCTAATCCGTTTGTCTCTTTCTTAGAACAAACTCTGTTTTTGGGGGCGACAGAAGGTAGGAAGAGGTTTGGGCCATCTCCAGGAGCAGTAGCCCAGACCATGAAAAAAAGGGGTATAGTTTCATTCTGTTTACACCAAGTGTCTATTGCATTCCCCTGGGGGGAAATTCCAAGAAAAGGAATGATCTCTGCCTCAAAAGAGTTTACAATCTAGGAGTTTGCTAAACCATCAGGTATACATAAATAAGAAAAATGTAATTGGGAAATGTTTAACAAAATAAATGAAAAGGCAATACAACATAAATGCTCCTGTTTGTAAGGTATTTTGGCCAGCCTTAAAGAGCTATGTATATGTTAGTTGCAATTACTGTTGTCAGGTCTCTTGACATTCTGACTGCATCAATCTGACTTCTGCACGATATTGTCTCCTCTGCAAACACGTCCGTCTGAAGGCTCAGGCTCCTGGCACACACCTAGCCCCTTGCCTGATGCTTTTGGAGGTGTGTGTTCTCGTGGATGTTTTCCTTGTTGTGTGTCTCGAGTGTGGATTTCCTTCTGTGCCTCTGGTTGTGTTTTGTGCTACTCGACTGCACGCTGAGTGCGGTATATGTGCTTGTGCACACACGTCGGATCCCGACTTGACCTGACTTTTCCTCTCTAGACGCCGGGGCAGCATGGCTACCCTCGTCCCCCGGGTCCTGGAAGGAGGTCCCACCACCCGGGCAGGCTTCCAACGCATTAGAAGGCAAAGGGGGCGGGACTCGGGCCGGCTCCGGGCCCCGCCTCCGGGGCTGCTGCCCCCGCATTGGCTGCCGCCGTCGTGACGTCACGGGGCTCTCTAAGAGAGCCCCGAGCGCTGCATTGCTCCTCACGTTGTTCCAGCCTTACGTTGTTTTCTTGTTTCCCGGCTCCGTGTCACGTCGGGGTCAGGGCCAGAGCCGGAGCCCCAGCTTGGGCCGAGGCGCAGCCGCAGCCGGCAACGGGGGCCGTTGCCCCCTGTGGGCCTGCCGCAGCCGCCAACATGGTGTCCCCGGTCACTGTGGTGAGTGTCCGGCTTTCCCTGGAGACCCGGCCCGGGTCTGGACCCTTCTTTGTGGGGAGGCAAAGCCCCGCCCTGGCGGGGGGTCTCCATGTCCCCCCCGCCCGCACTCTTCCAATAACTCTCCTCCGAGGACTCGGCTCGGCTGGGCCTGGGTCCGCCCCCTGCCGACCCCTCCACCCCGGCGCCCCCCGGAAAAGTCAGCTGGTGGAAAACAGCCAGCACGTGACTCGGGAGAGTGACTTTGTTGATTTGTTGTGTTGCTTTTTTCTCTCTGCTTCCTGCAGGTCGGGGTCGGGAGAGGGGGGCGGGAAGTGAGGGGAGCGCCCAGACGGCCGGCGCCGTCTAGCATCGCTGGGTGTCGGGCTTCCTCGGGAACGGGGCTGGGGTGGGCAAAAGGTAACGGTGAGCGTGTGTGTGTGTGTGTGTGTGTGTGTGACACCAAGACAGAGAGGGTTGTCTGTGATAAGTGGGAGGATGTGGCGTGGAAGCAACGGGCGAGACCACCTGTGCCGTGGGGGCAGAGAGTTGTAGGGATGCTACAGACTCTGCTCGGGTGTGTTTGTGGAATGGCGATGTTTGTGTAACAAGGGAGGGCCGGGGCGGGGGATATATCTTGACTTGTTTGTTTCCTGTCCTCCTGCAGAGGGGCTTTCACAGAAGCATAGAAGCTTTCTCTTGGGGCGGGAGCTCACGTACTCTTTCTGGGTACTCAAGCTCCTCATTCCCTTCCCTTTCTCTTCCCCCAGCGTCCAGCCATTTAAGGGGAGAGGTTCTAGGGTTCTAGGCGGGGTCAGTGTTCTAGGGGAACTGAGACTCCTTATGTTTTTTTTTCTTCCAGAAAATAGGAAGGAGACTGGAATAGGTGGCCAAGGGAAACCCTTGAAACTCTCAGGGTCAGGGAGTGGTTGGTGGTTGTTGCTTTAAAGTAACCGTAATGATAGATCTCAAGGAAGTCTGAGCTGGGCTTTGGGTTGGACAGCTCCTTTGACCCTTGAGAAGGACACTTGGATTGATCCTTTTAGTGGGTTGTCCTGAAACAGAGACAAGTTCTTATGGGGATGGCTCCCTCTTTCCAATGAGATTCATTGGAGGTGACAGTTACTTCTTCTCCTAGTCACATTCCTTCTCAGAAGCAAGGGGGTGGGGGGATGGTGATGGTGAAATTCAGTTCATCCCCCTCCCTCTCTCTCTTTGCACTGTGATTATATATTCTGGCCAGTCTGTGTATTTGGAATTAGGTGAACCTGGGATGAGGCTGGAGGCCAGGCAGCTCTATCAGCCAGGGTTATCACCATTCCAGACCAGGTCACGCAGCTTCACCGGGTAACTGGGGAGACACAGGAGCAGACAGCTGCAGTTCTGCAGTAGGGGCATGAGCTCTGCCAGGCTTCTCTCGGCTGTCAGCCCTGGAGTTTCCCTGGTTCAGAGCATTAGCCAGAGCTGATCTCGTCAACCTCTCCTTAATTCAGCAGATTGTTTCAAGTGCCAACTATGTGCAAAGCACTATGCCACATTCTAGAGGCAAAATCTGCATCCTTCTCATTCTCCCAATCCCTCTATGGTATCCTCAGGGTCTGGGGTTCTCCCAGAAGTGTGGCCTTGGCCACAACCCTGTGCTGCCACTGCTGGGTGGCTGATCAGCTGCTCTAACTTCCCTCTCTCAGTTCCTTGTCTCTGACTTTCAGTGACTCCCTCATCTGCTCTTTGTCTGTAGAGTTTCTAGGATATGAGAGGGGCATTTTCCCATGCAGTCTCCCTGTCAGTGACTCTTCAGATACACTCTCAGTCTTGCTTCTTGGATCCTGATCCAGGTGACATTACATTCCTATCTCCCACTTACCTGTTTTCACAGCTGCTTTAAATAATATCAGACATTCATACTGATCACCCTTTAAGGTTTAGAAAGCACTTTACACATGGTACCTCATTTAATCCTCACAACAATGCTGTGAGATAGGTACTACTACAGATGTTATTATGTCCTCATTTTATTGAGGGGAAATTGAGACTCAGAGAGAGTAGCTTGCCCACACCACAGTGACACAGCTGGCTAGGAAGTGTCACATGTTAGGATTCAAACTGCTGAGCTTTTCTCTGTCTCCAAGCGCAATACCCTTTCTGCTACATTACACTGAGGTTACAGTTTCCTTGAGTTCCCCTTGAAGAAGTTCCCAGGAGCACCTTGTGAATGGACCTGGGACTGGTTCTTTGTTCACACTTTGTGCTGCCTGGTTGCTCCAGCCTCCAATACCCTTGGGAAGGAGCAACTTTTCCTGGATGTGAGCCCAGGAGTGTGTCCTCTGTAGGTAGACACTTGAATGTGTGCAGATAGGTAGGAAGTGAGCTTGTTGGCAAAGTACACACACATAAATGCAAGAATTCCCTGCCAGGACCTGAGAGCCCTCTTTGGCCTCGCTGTTGCTGATCATGAGATGTCTGTGACATCGGTAGTTTCCCTGCTGACTCTGCTTTGTTCCAAACAGCTGAAGTCTGAGTCCTCCCTCCTTCTAACACACAGTAAGCTAAAAGACACTTTAAAAGAGAAAGGGGTGGGGGAAGGAAGGTTGCTGAGGAATAAAAAGGAGGAAGGGACACTGGGGGAGGGGGAAATGAGGGCCATTGATGGATAATGGGGAAGACACTGGAAAATGTCTTAAGGCCTTCAGGGCTGACCTGCTCACTCTTAGGTGAGTTCTTGTTCCCAGCACCAGGGACAAGGCCTGCTGAGGCCATGAAACAGGTGGGGTTCCCCCTGGCTGCCCCTTCCCACTCCCCCATAAAATGAGCTATCTGGGACTGCTGCTATCTGGACAGGTAAAGAGGCAGCTAGGGGGAGTAAAATCATCAAATTATGAGTTTGGATCCTGCCTCTGATGCTGACAAGTCATTTAACCTCTCTAAGCATTACTTTCCTCATCTGTAAAATGAGAATAGTATCTGTAGGACTTAATTCACAAGGGTGGTCAGGGGGTTCAAGTGAGATAATGATTATAAAGCACTATATAAATATTGGTTGTCATCATTATTAGTAAAGTGGTCTGAGTCCTAGGCAGAGTATGACGGGATCAGATGACTTTTCTCAGGCTGGCCACTTTCCATTCAGGGTGCTCAGGGAAGGTACCCCCAAAGTAGCAGATGGCTCCCAAGGTGGTGACACCCTGTTCCAGGCTACTTCTTTCCTTTCCCTTGACCCTCTCTCTGTGTGATACTGATCAGGTGTCTTTGGGTCCATCCCTAGGTAAAGAGTGAAGGGCCTAAACTGGTCCCTTTCTTCAAGGCCACCTGCATCTACTTTGTGCTGTGGCTGCCAGCCTCCAGTCCCTCCTGGTTCAGTGCGCTCATCAAATGCTTGCCCATCTTCTGCCTCTGGCTGTTCCTGCTGGCACATGGACTTAGCTTCCTGCTTGCCCACCCCAGTGCCACCCGAATCTTCGTAGGACTCGTCTTCTCTGCTGTGGGTGATGCCTTCCTCATCTGGCAGGACCAGGGCTACTTCGTGCATGGTCAGTAGCTGGAAAGCCTCCAGGGGGGCTCTGGGTAAAGGATGATTGGCCAAAAGGCTAGATCACCTGAGGGTCCAGCCAGAATTCTCTTGGAGTCATAGATGTGGGTATACTTAAGTATGTACTCAGGTTTGTATATGCATCTATTTCTGTGTGTGCATAAGCCCTTGACCTTGTGTGTCCCGGTACTTACAGGTCCATGGCTCCTCCTTCTTCCCGAGTGACCCCTTCTGGCACCCACCCCATGACCCTTCTCCTCAGTGGCCCCCTCTCTCTCTCTTTCTCTCTAGGACTGCTGATGTTTGCAGTGACCCACATATTGTATGCTTCAGCCTTTGGCATGCAGCCCCTGGCCCTGCAGAGAGGCCTAGTGATAGCAGTGCTTTCTGGACTCTGCTATGCCCTCCTCTACCCCTATCTGTCTGGCCCTTACATCTACCTAGTGGGAGCCTACGAGGCACTCATTGGTTTCATGGGCTGGAGGGCTATGGCAGGCCTGCGACTGGTCGGGGCACACTGGCGCTGGACAGAACTGGCTGCGGGCAGCGGAGCCCTTCTCTTCATCATCTCTGACTTGACCATTGCCATCAACAAGTTCTGCTTCCCTGTCCCCTACTCTCGAGCAGTCATCATGGCCACCTATTATGCTGCACAGATGCTCATTGCACTTTCTGTTGTAGAGAGCCGAGATCTGGGTGGGAACTTGGGGTTGAGCAAGGTGGACTGAGCTGGGCAGGGGGCCAGGGTCGTGGTAACCCAAAGCCCTCCTGCCCTTTTCCCCCCCTCTTCTCAGCAGTGGGTCCCAGGTCCCAGGTCCCAGGCATTTTCTGGAATGGGGCAGAATATCTGGAGCTCCATCCCTGGACTGTGAGAGGTGCTGAAATGGGCCTGGATTCTGGGTATCTCCAGGGAAGATGATCTTTACCAGCACAATCTTTGGAGGGGAGCCCAAGAATTGGGAACTGGACAAATAGAGATGGTTTGGAATGGGAGGGCAATCAGGGAGGCCTCTCCTCCTTGGGCCTGTTGGAGGCCCCTGTGGGTCTCAGCTGTTTTGTTCTTTTCTCTGGCATAGGGCAGGGAGAAGGGCAGGAGTACAACTCTGTGTCCCCTTAGGATGTGTGGCGACAGATGGAAAGACTGGGGCCTTCCAGACATCACCCCACCTCTTTTGTTTAAACTGGTAAAGGGTGCATCCTCAGATCCAGAACTCATGGAGAAGGAGGATTCTGTGCGAAGAGGTGGCTGGGGACGGTACTACCCTACCCCAATTTTAGGTCACTCTTGAGAAGGTGGTGGGCTTGTCTTAATATTGGCAGCCTTCAGGCTGCTTCTTTTATACTTGAACAAGTTCTTGGGAGAGGACCCTCAGCCTGGGGAAGGAGTCTGCTCTGGCCTGAATTCTTCCTGGTGCTCTTTCAAGGTTGCTCTCCCTACAGCTGGACTCCCTGCTCTTCTAAGCCTGAGCCGTCCTGTCCTCTCCTCCTCTGGAGAAGCTGACAGACAGTCCACCTGTCTTCTCGGGTTGGGCCCGAGGAGCAGAAGGACCTGGGCTTCCCATTCTAGTGCTGTAGGCCTAGTGGTCTGTGTCAGCTCATATCAGGGAGGGACAGCAGCCAAAAGAAGGGGATCTTTTTACTCTTTCATGGGTTCCCTCTGGCAGGACCCCTCTTTCTGGGTCTGTTTCTTGTTTCTTGACTTGGACAGCAACACTAGAAGTTATCTTTCTCCAGGCCTACCCCAAGCTGTAATCTGGATGAATGCACTTGGGACTTTTTTCTCTGCTTCCTGTTTCCCTAACCCAGCCCCAATAGGTTTTCCTTTCTGCCTTCCTCGGGGGCTGATGGGGGACTATGTTCTAGTGGCCGTAAGGAATCCAGGTACTGAGGCACATTCAATGCAAATGGGTAGAGAAGGGTGGGACGGGCTCTGGCTCCATTGTATGGAAAACAATAAAACCAGGGACCTTGTGTCCATCCTGCTCCAACTACTGTGTCCTGTGCTATCCCTGGGGATCCTGCTGGGAGGAAAAGGACCACGGGCTGTTCACTCAAGCCCTGGCTTACAATCTCAGCTGGAACAACCGCCCGGCAGGTTCTCTGCAGGAGATTCTACTCTAGGAATACACTGGACTTCCAGCTTCCTGGAGGCCAATGAAAATCGGAGTCTACTCCCTGGTTTTGTGTGTGTGTGTCGGACCTTGGTGTGCCATGTACCACCCACAGCTTCAGAGCAAACCCTTAGCAAACTGAGGACTCCTCTCATCTTCCTCCTGCTGCTGTGTTTCCCTTTAATGTGCCCCGTGCCCCATGCCCCGATGCTGCTTCTTGGTCACTTAGAATCCTTCATTTTGCCTCCCCATTCAGACCTACCCCCTGCCTGGACAGTGTTCAGGGCTCTGACCCCCAACTCCATATACACACAAATTATCTAAAAATTGACATTCCTTTGGTCACCATCTCAGCCAGTTCTGTTGGAGAAAAGAGATCTGGTCAATGAAGGTAATGGGACAGCTTTTCCATGCCTAACAGCATTTTCATATAATAATGCCTTAACCCAAAAGAATGGATTCTGTATGCTGAGAATTCCAGGTACTTTTAGGGGGGTAGGGAGACATGGTTTAATCTATTCAAGTACTTAAAACTGACCCTTTATAGATAATTGGGTAAAGGAAGACAGGGGAGGGGTATGTTTAATTTAGTCCCATCCCCACAGCCTCAGGTGTGGGCTGCAAGTATAATGGAACTGGATGAGGAAGAGGAAGCCACCGGCACAAGCCCAAAGGTCACACACTTTCCTGACTGGGCTGCACAGGGTAGGGGTTAAATAAGCCTTCAGTGTTTTTCCCTCCCCGGAACTTCTTCAGTATTAGGCAGGAGGTGAGATCGCCAGTTTATTGTTTATTGCTTCAGAATCACCCCTAAGCAAAGGTCAGGGTCATATAGACTTGTGGGTGTTTTCCACTGCAGGGGCAGGCTTTCCAGCTCCAGACTCATCATTCTGGCTAATATGGCAGTTGGGCTGGGCCTCACATGAGGTGCTTTGATTTCTTCTGTAGACTCTCAGTCACAGAGGCCAGGATGGATTTGTCATCTTTGTCTGAAAGGTCAAGAGTAGTGTTGGCTAAGTCAGGATAACTATTGACAAATCACCTAACCTTTGAGAGCCCCTGCCTCCTTCAGGCCGAAGGGGCAGCGTCCTAGGATGGTTGAGCATCAGGGAGACTGATACAGCCTCAGTTGGCCGGACGGGCATTGCAAACCACACGATGATTATGTAGGAAAACTAGGGCTTCCTACTTCTGGGACCCTAAGTTTTACCTCATGAGTGACCTATCCTGAGTGAGTGACCTGTTACATGGGGCCCAAGCCCTTCTTGGATCTCCAAGAACATCAGGGTGTGGGGATGTATATCCAGGCAATGTGAGACACTGTGTGTGTATGTGTGTGAGTAAGTGAGAGAAGGGGGGGAAGAAAGGGAGGAAACGAGGGAGAGGAGGAGACGAGAGAAGGAAGGGGGAGAGAGAGGAGGAGGGAGGGGGTGAAAGAGAGAGATAGAGGAAGAATAAGTCAGCAAATATTGTCTATTATGTCAAGGCAGGATGCATGTACATTCTTGTGTGTGGGTAGACCTACTTGACTGGGAAACCTTTCCCCATTCGTGTATGGTCCAATCTAGCCAGGCCACAACAGACAGTCCCCTTCCTCCCTAGGACGATTGCTCACCATAGACAGTCAGTGTACAGCTGCATTTGTCCTTGCCCAGCTCATTTTCAATAAGCACGCTATAGTCCCCGCTGTCTTTGAGGGTGCAGGTGGGGATGACAATAGTGCAAACCCCATTGGTGGAATTGTACCAGAACTTGGAGTTGGCAGTGATGTTGACATCCCCCTTGTATAGAGTTACTGTAGGACGTGGGTTCCCCAGGAAAGCGCAGCTCATGGTGCAGTCATGTCCTCGTAGCACTGCATGGGGTTTCAGTGGGGTGATGAAGCGAGGAGCATGGCGCCAGTCCTTGTGCTGATAGGGACGCAGTTTGGTACTGAGGTCTTCAACTAGGGGGGAAGAGAGGATTGAGGGAGCCAGAGAGAGTCATGGACCCAGGAGGGTCAGAGCACTGGACAGCTGCACCCAGTGAACTGGAAAGGAAGCAGAGTTCTCTGGGCTCCATAATTTCTCTGAGGTCTTAATTCTCCAGCATTTCCTCAGCCCTTAAGGTTCGGCTGTTCTTGAGGTGCTCCCAACCTTCCCTTTACATGTTGTCTGTTCTACTCATACTCTTAAAGCTCTCTGATATTCTCCAAACTCCCTGGGTTCCCTGCCATTGTCCACACACGCCTTGAGGTTCTCTGCCATTCTCCATCCCATTGGCACTGCTCCCCACGCTCCTCAGGGTTCCTCAGTTTTCTCTGTGCTACCTGCAATGTTCTCCATGCTCCCCAAGATGTCCCAATAGTCTCCACACTCCCAGCAACATTCTTCCTACTCTCTGGGTTGTTTGGCATTTCTCTCCCTGACGTTTTTAGTGCTTCTTGGGTTCCCTGCCCACACTTACTCTGATCCTTGTTGACCAGCCAGGTATCCTTCGAGTCAAGTGGGTCACTGTCCCCAATCTCATTCCGGGCCAGGACTCGGAAGTAGTATTTTCTCCCTGGCAGGAGCCCTGTGACAGTGTACTTGTTGCTAAAGACTCGATCAGCAGCCGTGAACCAGGTGGCAGTGCTGGCGTCCCTCTTCATGATGACATAGTGCGCCTCACCATCCTCCTTCACATCTGGACTGTGGTCCCAGCCCAGTGTCACTGTGTTTGGCACTTCCTCAAACAACTTCAGGTTTGTTGGTGGCTGTGGGAAGTCTGAAGTCACAGGCCTAGGTCAGCTCTCCCCTCAACCGCCCCAACCAGGCAGTTGGGGTACTTTGGAAATCATTAAGCCTCCCTCTTTGTGTGTTCATGTCCCAGTTAGGAAGTCCTTCCTTTGCCTAGGCTAAAGTCCTCTCTGTTGTCTCCCAGAGGTGGTGGTGAGGAAACAACTTTTCCCTCCTCTACAGCCCTGTTACTCAATCTTCATTTCTGTCTCCTCTGCCCAATCCCCCATCCTCTACGAGCATGCCCCCTTCTAACATGAATGAACTCACTTCCCCCTCCTTTCCATATTTAGCTTCCTCTCCGAGGCCTTCCTGACTCTCAGAACTGTGGATTCTTAGCATAGTCTGTGCCTGACAAGTGACCCTATCCAGCTGCTGCTCATGTTCTCCTGCCCACTCTACCCTGTTGCTGGCCTTTCCTACATTCCTCCAAGGTCTGATTCTTAGTAAAATTGTAACTGACTTCCCAGGGCATCTCCTGAGTCCTGTCCCAGGATTATCATTCTAGAACCTCCTCTGTCTCTGAGTCCCACCTGCTGGAAATAGTTCAATAAACAACTAGTTCCCACTGTGGTATCAGCTAATAAAGCCTTAATGTGAGACATCCTCCCAGAGGTATGTGCATTTTCACTGATAGCTCAAAAGCCTTCAAGACCCAAAAAGAATCAGTCTCTAATGGGGAAATTTCAGGCATAATTATAACTGACATTTCTATCCCACCTTAAAGTTTGTAAAACACTTGACATTACATTATCTCATGTGAACTTCAGACAGCCTTGTGAGGTGGATGCTACATGTATCATCCTCACTTTACAGATGAAGAAACAGAAACTCAGAGATGGAGTTGCCCATAGTCCCATAGCTAGAAAGTGCCAGGGACAGGATTCGAACCCAGGTTTCTGAGAGTAGAGCTGTTTTATTTTCCCTCTCAGAACACTACTAGAGTGAAGTGAGCAGGGAAGCCTTTCCTCAAAGCATACCAAGCAGATGGCCACCTACTCCCTTCCCACTGCTGAATCCATACCTGCCACACGAATATGGATGTCATAGTGGGCCTCTCCATACTCATTCTGGAGCAGGATACGGTAAATGCCTGAGTCTGAGCGCTTACTGCTGTTGATGAGGAACTGGGAGTGATTCTTGCCCTTGGTGATGGTTTCTCGGCCCTTGGTGGGGATTCCATCCTTTTGCCAGATCACAGTGGGTGGAGGGGAGCCCTAGGAGGGAACCATGGATTAGACTGGAGTTATCCCCTCACCCTGTGGCAGCAACTTCCCTTTCTCCCCAAAACCACTTGGTCATTTCCAACTGCTCTGTATTCTTGATTCCCACAGGACCTTTGGTTTTGGGGGGTGGACATGTCCTCTATGGGGAGTTATCAGGGAGGAGGAGAGCTTTGAGGATAGCCTGTGATGGCCACAGCTGGGGAGAAGAGTTTTACATGGAATGGGGCTGGGTTCAAGGAACTCACATAGAAGGAAGCATGAATGCACAGGGCTGTCCCAGCCCGCACCACCATGTGGCTCTTCAGCCGGACACTAAGATCAAACCTGGGAACCGCTGGAGTGGAATTGGGATAATGAGGGAAGGGGAAGAAAGAAAAGGGAGGGGATGAGAGACAGAAGTAAAGGATTAATATGGAAGGAAGGAATGAGAATCAGAGGAAAGAGACACAGAGGAGAGGAATGAGGAAAGGTGAAAAAAGATGAGTGCAGAAATGACTTTTTTTTTTTTTGGCCTACTGCTGGTGGAAACTATATGCGTTTTTGACTATATGTTTATTATATATAGGTGACTATATGGGTGACAGTCAACCCATGAGGGACTTCAGGTGGACTTTGCCCTGAGGGAAAGATGTAAGCTGATGTTCATTGATCTATCTGTAGCATTGCTAATATGAAAAACTAAATCACTAACCCAGGGAGCTGGTGGGATGGACCAGTAGGGGACACCTTCTCAGAATCTGAAAGGACTGGGGTTAAAGTAAGGCCAGGGAGAGAGTCTTTTCCCCTAGACACATTGGGGATGGGATGGAGAGAAGCAGGAGGCTAGCTAGATGAGAGTGGGGCTGCTGGCCTCCGTGCTTAGATTGAAACATCTCAGCATATGGTGGCCAAACTT